AAAAGTAGTCAAAGTGTGGGGTCAAGTAGATATTTCCTAAAGTTTAAAAAATTCGACGCCTGCAAAGAGCTGGGCGTCGCGACGCGTCGAAAAATTATTCGATTGCAGGGACTTTGGAAATACGCGCATACAAAAGTACATATTATTTAAAAACTTTTTTGTTATTTACTCAAACTTATTTACTTTACCCGTTTCTAAGTTATACCGATTTAAAGTAAACATTTCTTGATTAATAAAAAATGTGATTAACGCTTATTTTTACAAAATGCGCAAATACTAACGAGGTATTTGAACCGAGAATATCCCAATAGATGGTTTGGTACTAATGGACCGGTAAGGTGGCCGGCGAGGTCCCCGGACATTACGCCACCAGATTATTTTCTTTGGGGCTACCTAAACAACGTTATCTATGAAGAACCTATCGAAGATATGGCTGATCTCATTAACAAAATTAGTGCAGCGTGTGCCGCTATCACAAGAAGGACTCTCCTACAAGTGACCCAAGCTCATCTGTTAAAAGTTTTTGATAGTTGCGTTCGAGCAGATGGACATAATTTTGAACAAAATTTTTGAAATGTCTTATTATGTAGTTAATTGCAATAATAATCTTGGTTATTAACTTGTAGGTATTTTACGGTTTTTTCATTTATTTATCATGTTATCAGAACTAAATCGATAAAAAATAATAAATAAAATCATACTAAAATAGTTGAAATCTATTGTTTGTAATTGCACTTAAAACAACTGCGATAACAATGGTTGCCATAGTAACTAACATTCATGGCATACTTTTAAAAATAAGCATTAATCAAATTTTTTATTAATCAAGAAATGTTTACTTTAAATCGGTATAACTTAGAAACGGGTAAAGTAAATAAGTTTGAGTAAATAACAAAAAAGTTTTTAAATAATATGTACTTTTGTATGCGCGTTTTTCCAAAGTCCCTGCAATCGAATAATTTTTCGACGCGTCGCGACGCCCAGCTCTTTGCAGGCGTCGAATTTTTTAAACTTTAGGAAATATCTACTTGACCCCATACTTTGACTACTTTTTACATAAATTAAATATTTCTTTTCGTTTTGGACTTATTGGCGTGCGGAGTTGTAAGTGAAAAACCCTGTATATATATATATATATATATATATATATATATATATATATATATATATATATATATATATATATATATATATATATATATACAACAACACAACAACACAAACATATTCCCACAGAAAGAAATCTAATGGTATCTCGAACTGCCTACATTGGTCTCTTTCAGTCACGATTATCGTATAGACTTCTGAGCTCTGCTGATTGGGAGCGATTATTTAAAATACAATTCACGGAATATAGGATTCTGAACTTGCAAGGTCTGTTTGTCTATTAGTATCTAATTTCTATTAGGTCGAGAAGGTCGGGCTACCTAACTGTCAAAGATAGGTATATCTATGATACAACCCATAAAAACTATATATTTGTAGCTATAAAACTATTTAATTTACTCCACCCTCCCCTCATAAGAGAGCCACTAACTCAAAGAAAGCAGAAATAAAGAGAATAATCCTCGAGATCTCACTGCACCCAGTGGACGAGTTTTTTGCTGGATAGGCGTTGGTCAGAAATTTTAAATGTAAACCTTATCTATTGTGTTAGTTAAATTTTTATCTATTTATATTTTAGTTTTTTTTTCATGCTTAATTGATCACTATTATATACTTTGGACGATGCCGGACATGATGTAGTGTGGAAAAGCAAATAAGTTATTATTATTATTATTGTTGTCTCGTCTATTCTTCGCCTTGTAAAGTCTGACTTCTAACAAAGTATTTTTTCCGCCTCATCCAGTATATAAATAATGTCAATTAATGTTAATGTTAATTAATTAATTAATTTATTCGGTTGTCAGGTAAAGAATTGACAATGTAATGTTATGTTACCATACACCCTAAGAAACTGCTGAGTGCTCGCATCATATTATGATGGGAAAGATGCTCAGCTGGTAGTCAGTTGGAAATATTTATGTAGTAATCTTCTAAATTTGTAATTCGAAAATTAAGTTATTTTTAAAAAATCGGCAACCACGGTGTAGTTAGTTAATTGGCGCATTCGGTAGGATTTTTGTGAATCTGTAAGTATTCGTATTCGATTTGTTTAATGATTCGTTTAATGTAAGTGTAATTGATAACTTAATGACAAGTGTCTGACGACATCATTTGCGAATTTGGTAAGTGGCGTTTAAGTACCCATTCAACTCATTCTGTTTCAAATCCAGAATAATTATTTCCAAATGAACTAACCATTCAATTGATAACTTTTCTCAGCACAAGAAAATGACTCATTTTTACGATATCGGCACCACTGTCTAGTTAGTTAATTGGCGCAGTCATTAGGATATATTTACGTTGTAATCTTGTAAACTTGCAATTCGAAAATTAAGTTTTTTTTTTTAAAGAATGGTAAATATTGGAAAAGTTAAAATAAACGGAAAAAATATTAAAAATAGGTCTGTGACATACAAGGTTGTAGGTTTTTGTAATATATTTCAGAAAAAATAATAATGTATATGGTGTGCAATTGTAATTAAAAAATCTAGATTTTTTTAAATAAATTTCCGTTGCATATATATTTTACGTCATCTTCCAAAAACGCTAATGTCAATTAATAATAATAATATTAAAAATAATTGCGCTGTCGTTAATTTTTGCAATTGCGAAAACTAGTATTCTTTTAGAAAGATAAAAAATATCGGAAAAACTGTTAATTTTAGGCATGTATTAATACTAAAAAATTGAATAATTAAAAATAAAATTTAAAAATAGGTTTTACCTCTACAAGTTTTTTATTTAACATTTTCTCATGACTCATGCTGTACAGTATTCTTCTTTTTCTGTAACCTTATCCATGTTAACGTTAATTAGGAAATATTAAATTAAGATCAAAAGGCTACAATCAAATTCCTCATCGCCGTCGCATTGAACCAATCCAGAGTGACATCCATTTGCAATTTTCCTGATCCATAACGTTCTACTACCTTTCTATACTCAACTATCGAGATCTCAATCGATATTCCGCAAACGGACCTAAAAAATACTTCTGGGAACCAGACAAAAATTAATTTAAGTTCAAGAGATCGAGCTGCCGCAAGATTTCGAGCAAAATAGGTATTTCCACCCGCAAAAAGTTATGCGGAATATTCCAATCACCCGTCGAAAAAAATCTAATTAATATTAACTCGTTTGATTGCATAATTTGAGTCGGTTTTTGCTTGCAAGATGGAGAACAATGTTAGATACAATCATTGTTGTCATGTAAACAAGGTAAAATAATATTCAGCGTCGGAGAGGATTTTTTTTTTAAAGCGATGGGAGAGGGTGGGGCAAGGTGGCCCACTTATTTTTTTTATTATTTTTTGCGGCTTTTAACCATAAAGTCGATTTTATTTTTGACTATTTAACTAAATTTACACAAATTTTGACCCAGCTTCAGGCCGTCGTCTCCCACATATCGTCCATATACAAGAGAAAGCGACCAAGTTTACTATTAACAGTTTTAAGCTATTAATATTTGAAGATTTATTAACAAGCATAAAATTGAATTATTTTTTGTAAGTCTATTATAGTGGAAGTACATTTTGAAAGTAGGTTTTCGTTAATCTACTGCATAATCAACAAATCTTGTATTGTTCGAAGAAAATTAAAGTCAATTTGTTCCCCTAAAATTTAAATAACAAATTCACGATTACAACAAATTATTAAACAATAATAATTACTAATAAGAAAAAATAAGTGGCATTAAATAATCCTAATATTATACTTCATCATCACTGCTTTCATCTTGTGCAGGTTCGGGGCATTTGTCTTTTATGGAATTATCACTTGGGAAATTCGTGTACCAGCCATGACACTCGTTGGGAATAATTCCAGTTCGGCAAAGTTTAACTCTTTTTGGATATTGGCAATGGTTCTGAGTAGCACTTTTTTTAATTTGATTCTTTCGGAGTACTACTGGATCTGCCCTTTACTTTTCCTCTTACATTTACAACTTTGTATTCTTCATCGTAATTGTACCTGAACAATATTAAATTTTTGGTTCCTTTTTCACATCGGAGTTGTTTGATCTTCAGCCATTCTACCCTTTGACAGCGTATTTTTTAATGTTGATTCTTTAAGATTGATAAAATCATTGTACGTCAGCTGGTGAACATTATATACACTTGAAATTTTATTTTTTCCTCTCTTGGATCGTGCTTCTGTCATAATTGTTGTCCAGTCAGCAAAAGACAGGGATATACCTTTTGGCTCGTTCTATTGCACTATGCATCGAATCTGCTTCCATGTGTGAATTGACTTTATCTAAAAAGTGATGTGTTCCTGTAAGAAAAACTTGAACGATAAACAAAACAAGTGCAGCTATGTATTCGGAGTTTCGTAGCAATGATATCAGGAGAACTCTTCTCTTTTTTTTTTTAAATATGGGCTTGAACAATTGCAAAATATCAAGTGATGGAATTCATTTATAAAAAAAATGGGACTCATCAATTCTTTCTGTAAGTATATATTAGGTTTCGAACATTTTACTGTTGCAAATAAAATTCTAGAAAATTCGTTTTGGCCACTTCCTTTTGTATATCGACGAAAATAAATAAATAAGTATATTTATTTATTAAAAAGCAGTTACTGATTAGTAACTCTTTTTCAATAGATTAATTTTTTTTATTGGTATTTATAAAATTTACTATTATTTAATTATGATTATTTAAATGAATTAATAATTAAGGATTAATTATTCAATAAATAATTTTGGTTAATTTTTGAGGTTGGCCCGGGGGGGTAGCCTTGCACCACCCGCCCTTACAAAACATTGTTTCGTTTACATTCGCGTCCCAATCGAGATGAACGTAAAAAATGTCACCACGGAAACCGACAATTTACGACGCCGCTGGACAGTTCTTTCCCTTCTCGAGCATTGTTTTGTGTAACTATTGTATAAATAATAGTTATTCGTGTATTTTCCGTTCAAATCTTTCCCGAAGCAAGGGCAACACGTTTCGCGATGAGGTTGTGTTTCGTATTATTCGTAGCATGCTTGGGCATCGCCCTCGCCAAACCCCAAGAAGCCAAATACACCACCAAATACGATAACGTCGACTTGGACGAGATCATCAAGAGCGACAGGCTCATGAAGAATTACGTCAATTGCTTGCTGGAGAAAGGAAACTGCACCCCAGACGGAGCTGAATTGAAAAGTAAGTTTTTCCTCCATTTTTCTTTAGCGTAGACCGGGCCTAGCTGACGTATTTCCATTACATTACTCTTGAATTTTTTTTAACCTTCTATGTAACGTGCGTTCAGTTTATCTTGATTTTAATCGGCTGTAACTTTTTCGTTTTTTTAGATATCAAGGTAAACAAAAAAACAAAATATATGGTTAGAAGTCAAGTTTTTCACGCACATCATATTTTTTAATGGAACACCCTGTATATCATATATGCAAAATACAATGATGTAACACACTTTTGACAAATCGGCAAAATTAGGAAATTTTTATATAATTTCAAGGAGTGCCCTGGCTGACAAATAAAAATATGTAAACAACGTTGATGGTTGAATTATTGTCCAAGTCATTATTGTTAAAATGGTTTTTCTCGAATAATAAAAGTGCAAACGCCAAGACTAGCAAAGAAATTTGCAGAAAACGGCAACGTACTAAATTGTAAAAAGATATGCCGAAATCATAATTTTTTGAATGAAGAAAACAAGGCAGACCTATTAGGATTCTATGAGGCACATCCAGTTTCCTCTATTAGCAGAGTATATGTCTACTCAGTTTTGAAAGAATATAAACATAATGCATCTAAAATTCATAAAACTCAAAAACAAAGTGCGGAACAATGTCAAAGGAAGGTGCATTTTTGTTTGGATTTTTTATTTAATGAGAATAATAGTTTTTTGAAAAACTTTTTTTAGAATTATGGTTAATTCTTTCTTGATCATTTTGAATGTAGTTAGTAAACACCGGACATTCTGAACTTCTGACTGTATGATCGACAGTTAATTCCTTTTTAAATGTACAGAAATTCCTTTTAGAAAATCAGTTTGCGTAGTACAGGTAGTACTTCTATAATCAAATTTATTTTATTGAATTCCTTCGATTGTACAATTATTTTTATATCCTTTCTAGCAAAATCGGATAAATCATTCGAACCTATTATATTATCCAGTATTTGCATCTCATTTTCCAAACAACGTAATTCAACATTTTCTTAGGCAAGTCTGCTGTAATGTTTGTTACATACTAGTATTAGCCTAAGTAAACGTCCTTGCAAATATTACTCCACTGACTGACAACATAAAAGCAAGGAACTTTACGCATTGTTTACGCAGGTTACTGAATTGGTGACCAGAATATGGAAACATGTTCGAGCTTAAATCTAACCAGCGAACAATAAAATATTGACTATAATATTAGTGTGTTGAACAAACGAAAGCTGTGAATTGAAAATCACACCTAAATCTCCAATAGAGCTACATCTGGATAAAGTAGTGTTATTTAATCCGAAGAAAAATAAGAGCACTTTGCGATATTGATGGTAAGATTATTTCGTTCACACCACTTTTTAAGTCATTCGCAAATAGCAGAAAGTCGTCGATAAAGATGGAAAACAATAATGGTCCGAGATTACAACCCTGAGGCACTCCGGATGTTGTGACAAACTGCACCGACTTGAATCCATTATAGTTTATTGAGAGCAGTCTATTGTGTAGATAACACTTAAATAGATACAAAAGTGGAGGTCCAAGACTTCAACAATCTAATACACTATACAATATCAACATCAACCAGCTCCATTATCTTCGTAGTAGTAGATCATCCTGCTATGTTGATTATTATTATTATTATAGAGGGGAAACGAAACTCGAAGCGCAATCCCTAAAAATAAAGCCCAAAACCCTGTCACATCCAGCTGTAAGTTTGTGGTAAGGTGGTATCACCTTTGAGACTATAGAGAGTACTAAAGTACTCTGCAGTACTGTAATCAGCGATATAGGGGTCCTAGAAGTACTCGTTTGCCATTTAAATAGCTCCAAAATATTTTAAGTAGCAACAAAAGTCTCCGCATGCCTCAAATAAATATAAAAAAATGAAATAATAATACACACGCAAGTATATACATCGTAAATACACCGAAGTGTGTCTAGGAACGCAATATCTTAAACAATGACGGGTGTCTCGACGAAGAATTTTACTTTAGCTAGGATAAGGAAATGATTCAAGGTGTCGAACACTTTGCTATAGTCCAAGAGTATGAGACATTTAGAATCCGCTGCTCTCAATAAATCATCAGTAACATGAAGTAAGGCAGAGGTAGTGCTGTGAAGAGGTCGAAAACCAGATTGAGTGTCTGGGAGGATTTTGTTATCGCATAGGAACGGACGAAGTTGTCTAGCTGCAATTTTTTTAATAATCTCTGAGACGGTTGGCAGCAAAATCGTTAACGCTACTTGGACACTCTTTCTTTGGAACGGGTATAACTTCAGCCTGTGATAGTGATATGATCGATTAAATACGGATTAGTCTAAAGAATCATTTTTATATCAACATTGTCTGAGATATGAGGGTTAGTTTTAATGCTAATCAAAGTTTTAGTAACTTCCTCAGGGTAAACTTTAGCAAAACGGAATGTTTGAAAGTCAACTTGTAAGTTTATATCATCAAATATGACTCAGATTTCGTACTACAGAATTTATAATAATTGTATTGACTATTAGCTGTCCTAAATTTTCTGTAATATAAAGATTTTGATTTTAAACAGTAAGCTAAATCCGGTGGTTACCAGTTAGGTAGCCGCGTTTGTTATTACGAAAAATGGGAACCGAACCGTCAAACGCAGTGCACAGTTTTTCATAAAATGGCTGACCCATACTGTTAACATCAGAAAACTCCCCCAAGAAGTCAGGACAATTAGCTTCCCTAAAGTTGACCGAACTCATTCAGATATTAACAGGAGCAGACCCAAAAGCCGCGTCACTATTTAACTCAATTTTAATCAACAGTGTCAACAAGCCGACAAACTGCATTCCAGAGATGACCACCTCAATAGTTCTTGCATGGGAGTTAAGTACAGTATTCACTGTACGCATAATTACAAATTTAAGAAAACGCGTGATTATTCCGGTTTTTGCATCAAGAATATCAGTGATAATAAAACGACTTATGTTAAATTCACCGACTCTACCAATAATAAAATAATAATAAAAACTCTTTTTATTTTTACTATATACTGGAAAAGAAAGTGAAAATACGATTGATACCTCAAATTTTTCAACAAGCTGTACAAAACAAATTGTTGCCAAGTGAATGTCCGATAGCTCTTTACCAATGTATGGAACCATGTATAGAATTTGGTTTTCCGCATTTTTACAAACACTCGACAGAAAGACACAAACAAAATTCACTGTACAAAAGTATATATAAAAGTATACGATTCAGTTTGCAATATTATGTCATTAATTTACCAAAGAACCTTTTGCTCTTGTAGTATATGTTTATCGTGAGTAATTCTATGAATCTATTTATATATAAGAAACCAGTAAACTAGTATTGCGATTTAATGATCCAATAAACACATGCCGTGTCGAATTGGGCAATAAAATGCAATAAATTCTCTATTATTCCAAGTAATATATAATGCAACAAGTGCGGTAAACGGTATTTGACTCACAAGTTTATTGGACACGAGCGGAGCGAGTGTTTAATCAACGAGTGAGTTAAAAAGTTTACCGAACGTGTTGCATACTATACTTTTTCTAAGACCTTTAGTTTTTGGCTACATTTTCGCAAAGCAACACGAATACATTCACTGACATGACCGTCAGAATTGACAAAATTCAAAGCGTGGGAAATATCCCCGAAAACATCCGATTGCTCCCAAACTCTTGCGGTAAAATCGCGGAAATGTCCGAAGTGGCTCGGATCCGTGGGAAACGAAACTGACGTGCCAAAGTGATGCTTCACGCACACTAGATCGGTGTGTAATTAGGTATTTTACAGACGGGAGTAGAAAAACATATTAATCATTCTTAGTCAAGGATGTAGCTTTCGGTGGCATCTCGAAGTGATTTCAAGAATCTTCGAAGCCCATGGTCTGATATTAAATGATTAAAAGACGCAGGCTTGTTCCTTTTGATAAGAGAAAAGAGGAAATTATCTAGGATAATGATTTGAAACCCTCCTTGAATGGTACTCCGCTTGATATGCTCATTCTTAATTCTCACTTGCCTTATTGACTACAGAAGTCCTACGGTAAACTGGAAGTACTCTACCTATCTACTGAAAATAGACTAAAATTGGGCGACTCTTATACTCTCCCTATTGGGATCTCCGGAGGTTTTATATTGGCCGGCAGTACATTATTGCTTGTTCGTCAACTTCTACATTAAGCAGAAACCGAGAGAGAGGCTGAACGGCTGAGGCTTTTCCTTTTACGCGTTTTCCATTCACTTGCTTATGCTTATGCTCATGCTTATGTTTTCGTTTTTTTTGGGAACATAAAATGTTTATATTCATCTCCCTTTAAGCGGTTTTAAATTTGAGCAACATCGATTTGTGAATTTGGGTGGATTTAAGAGCTGCTATTTATATAGGGTGTTCAAATATGATATATTTCGTTTATTTTTTGTTTAACAGAAAAACGTTAAATAGAAAAGTGTGACTAAAAGAAAGAATTTAAACTTATTTTCAAATATACATTGCAATTCATAAATATATGGAAAATCAAACTTATTTTTTAATGGAACAGCCTGTATATTATGACATTAACATTTTTATACTCAATCACCCAATGTAGGGTTGTTATGCTCCATACCGAGTGGTTTGGAATTTAAGGCCATTTTTTAGTCAATACCCTACATTTTATTATGCCAACGATTTTATAAGGTGAAACAGCCATTTATCATATAATTGAAGTTAGGTCGAATCGTATATACCGAGTGAGTAAAAAAGAAAAACAAATTCGGGAAAATCCTGTATATTATACGTCCTAATAATGCTCTTTCACTTGTATTAAGCATCGCTACACCAAACTTAATATCTTTTGCGGTATACATATTTTTACTAACAAAACTCCGAAAATTTGTCAAATTATGATAATTTATCGCAATAAGTCAATAAAAATAAACATAAATTAGTAAATTTTTAATTTTGTAAAAAAAATGTTTCTTTCTTTTCAGTAATTTGAGAATTCTGTCTGTCTTACTAAAATGCTAACGATTTTATGATGACATTCAGGAAAAATGGTCTAATTTTTATTAAATTGCACGAAATTTACAGCAAGAATACTGGAAATTACTTAATAATAAAATTACCGCAGGATGTTATCATTAGCATAAATTATCATTAAGATATGTTCGTATTTTATTATACCAATTACAGGTATAAAGCACTTTGGAAATAGATAATTAAAGCAAATATGTGATATAAATTGAAAGAGACCTAATAGTGTAGGTTGCTTTAGCATTAATTATTACAAAATACAATTTTTTTTCCAGTCAAATTTGGACCTATATTTAAAAATACAAGGTTATTTTTATTATAATTTATAAAATGCAATTGACCATCTTTTAATATCAAACTTTTCATAACACAAATATCCCTTTATAACACACAAGGTTATTTGTTTTATAATAAATATTCGGTCTCTATTTAAATACTCCAATTGTGATTTTATTACAATTAACGCAATTGATTATCTTTAACCATAAAACGTTTCGCAAATCAATTATTGTCCTCGGCCAGTTACTGGTAACAATATCATTAAGCTGGAAATTATAAATATTCAAAACTTTCATTAGCGTTTACTATAGCGATGGCACTCCACTGAAATTATATGTCTATTTTTCAAAATTTTGACACATCATGTAGAAAAAGTTCGTCATCACTCCTAAAACGTAGTGCCAGAAAAAGTTTGCATTCTTTAATTTTTAATGTTGAAAGCCAACAGTTCCTGATATTTTGTATTTATTGACCATTAAGAAAAAAACTTTACTAATTCTTCGAAAAATTATCCCATTTGCAATATCATTAAGCCGAAAATGTCAACTCAAGCGAAATTGGAAAACTTGCTCCGCACCTGATAATGCCAAACGGGTATCGACTAATTATAGTGGTTTTAACATGTCTTGAAATCCTCTTAATGATTCGACAACTTTACAGCCATACTGGAGATATACTGTTTAAAATTTATATATTCACCGTGTAATTCGCGCTTGTTAAAAATTACAGCTACAAAATTTGCTGTGTCTATCTGCTCGACACAACGTACATCAAAAAATGCCATTTTGGTGAACCACAATTTCTAATGCTCAGAGTAGATAGGCTGCTTTCATTGCAGATACTGCTGAATGTGTTGCATACCCAAGATTTAGTGGAATTTAATTACACTCAAAATACTTGTTATTCGTGTTTCGTAATTATATTTTACATCGATAAATATAATTAACCACCTGTTTAATATATTCGAAATTCGACGTCAGTGCGGAATATCTTGGTTATGAGTAAAACTACGTTTTTGCGGTACAAAAGATGACCGCAGGAGAATTTTCTTATGCCATTGCCTTTTTAAGCTACAGCCCATATCTCTGCTATTGGAAAAATCAAAATACTTCCATAGAGATTTTTTTTACGTAGAATAAAATGAAGTAGCTACACACTTTACAATTTGTTTTTAATTTAAGTTGTTGAAGTGCGATTTTTGTTCTAATTTATTATTTTGCGGAATTGGCTCAGACCTTAATCCGGTTTTCAATTTATTAAATAAATTGTCCTAAGCATTACGGCTCTAAAAAAAAAACTTTGAAAATGTATAAAAATATGACATACTGTGTCGAGAAAATAGGGATGAATGCATCTGAACTGCTTTTGCACAGGTTTAATGGACAATAAAGTATGTTTTACTTTTATGTCACTTTTACAAATGTACTACGAAGGTATCTAGAACGAAGACCACCTAATAAATTAAAATTTGGTAAGCTCAAAGCCAACCTAATTAATTTTTGGTCATATAGTAGCCAAAAACATATAATAATTTGTATTGGGAAATTATTGAAATTAAACAACAAATTCTAGAATTGAAGCAACTTTAAAAAAGCACAAGTGTAAACTCTATAAAATTAGATTAGTTCATAATTTGCACCGACAAGGCTAGAATTTTTTCATTGGTATGTACCAAATGTAAATAAATAAACAGTTGTTTAATTTCCAGCACATTTAAGCAAAATACAAGAGAAGAACGAAAAACAAAGAAAAAAATTCTAACTAGAGTGAAGAGTGCCAAAAAAAACCCGAAAATCACTTGACTATTTTACAAGTAAAAACAGTCCTGGGAAAGTGTAAACAATTTTTTAATTTTCCAACATCTTAAATAACTAATAGACCATACAAATGGAAAAATATAATAATTATGAATTAAACAAGTAGATTCGAATAATGGACTTTTATTGATTTTTGAAGCATTCAGCATTTTTAATTTTGTTCTTTAATACCAATTATTGTTCTGCAGTTGATCACTGTGAAGAGTTTTTTGCTTGCGTGAATTTTGACAATACTAAAGATTCGCAGACAGTTTTTTAATTTTTTGACATGTTTTTCCAGCCGTGAATCAATAATTGAAATATATATATAGTATTTTAGGTTTCTAACTTGTTTCGTTATCAAGATTTACGAAAATTTCATTTCAACATTTCTTTGTTCCCAACATTTTTGGCAATTATCATGAGAGAATGACTATTTGACCAATTAACAGTGCTAGATATGTCTTTGTTGATGATATCCGCAGATCTAACGTGCAGGAAGCGTCACTTTACCGCGTCAGTTTCGTTTCCCACGGATCCGAGCCACTTCGGACATTTCCGGGATTTTACCGCACGGGTTTGAGAGCAATCGGATGTTTTCGGAGATATTTCCCACGCTTTGAATTTTGACGTTTGTCAATTCTGACAGTCATGTCAGTGAATGTATTCGTGTTGTTTTGCGAAAATGTACCCAAAAACTAACGGTCGTAGAAAAAGTATAGTATGCAACACATTTGGTAAACTTTTTAACTCACTCGTTAATTAAAAACTCGCTCCGCTCGTGTTGCTTGCCGTTTACCGCACTTGTTGCTTTATATACTATTAACAATGAATGTATTAAATTATAAAACCTATTAAAACATGTTTCGCTACAAAACGGTGTATCTCCTATAATAACAAAGATTATGAAGTAAACTGAAAAAGAAAATGTTCTTCTATTGTCCACCGACATATCTTTTGGTTGTTGGTATAATCACTATTACGAATTTTCGGAAAAGAACATAACATTTTCACTAAATAAATCGAAAATGAACTTCAATCGTTCAAATAGGATTATAAATTTAGAAAAAAAAAACAGGTCTATAATTTTGCCTTAACTTTGTCTAGGAATTTATATGTATCCTTTAAAATTAAAATAATAGTAATTATAAAAAAGTATAATAAAATTTTTTTAAAATTTTACAATTACAGAACATTTGCCGGACGCCCTTCACACCGACTGCTCCAAATGCAGCGAAACCCAAAAGAACGGCAGCAAGAAGATTATGCGCCACCTGATCGACAACAAACCCGATTGGTGGAAACAGCTCGAAGACAAATACGACAAAGAGGGCACCTACAAGAAGAAGTACAGGGAAGAACTTAGCAAAGAGGGCATCCAGTTGCAATAATTCACCTAAATCTAAGTTAATTAAATGTTATTTTGGAATGAAACGCTATAAACAACACACAAAAAAGTCGAAGCTATGTATTTCTTTAAACACATACGTAGGAAATTATGTTTAGTTTCATTTTCACATTTACTTCGAAATTATTGTTTATTTTTTGTATCTGTGGATAAATGAATTATACCTTAGTGACTCGCTAGCTTATTTTATTGTACAAATAAATCCAACTCTGCATTGCCATTGATTTACAGATTTACGCATATTTCTTTAAAAGGTACCTTGGGCAAATGTATAAATTTGTTTTTATTTTCTATCATTACTATCATAGCTGCGGATATCGTCGGCTATCATTCTCGACGCGTATAAAAAACCACAACTTCATCATGGAGAAAACAATAGATTATAGACTATTGGATTTTAAGAATAAAATTTCGTCTATTAATAACTGCTTAAATTTCTTAAAACCTAATTTTCAAAAGGTTAAATTACTTAGAAAAAAATATTTACAGGGGAATCGACCAAGAGAAAAAGAGCTGGAAATTATTTTCAAGTTCCTAAAATGACCGCTAGGGGGCGCAATCTCTACTATGAAATAGAAAAAATGGGGTTTCTCATAAATATTCAAAATTAACCATATATCAAAATTAGTTTTTGCGTAATCTACTCGAGATAAGGAAACTTCTGTTTGAACAATTTTATTCTATCTTGTCAAATTAAGGGTGGGCGATATTAATTCTTTTACGAGTCGAGAGGAGGCGCTTGATGTCAAAAACCGTTATTTTTATGATTATCTAGAAAATTTTAAATATAATGGTATAAATACTGTTAGCCTACATGAAAGAGCATAAAAAACACTCAAGGCAGTGAAAACGGAATGGCAATATCTTTTTTCCCCTTTGAGATATAAGTAAAAATGTGTTTGTTAAACATTAACCGTAACATAGTAATAGTAGCAGAGACGGTAGACGTGACTGGGGATGTTTATATTTTCTACTATAATTAAATTTGATTTTGTCCTGTTTGTTGTCAATCATAAAAAAAAATAAATCGTCAATATAATTTATTAATATATTATTATTTATTATATTAATTATTTTATATACATATTTCAACATCTACTTAGAAACATTTTATATAAATATTTAAGAACTACATTTAATGTTTCAAATAATCGGTCATTTTCTTTTGAATTTTTTTAGTATGCCAATACGCATCTCGTACTTTGGCTTGCATTTTCACCATTTCTTCGAGAGGGGCATCCTTCCCATGATACATAAAAAATTTCTTATCTTAGATTATACACAAAAAAAAACTTTAGCAGCTTAACTGAATATAGGGCTTGTTGGCTGGTTGGTGGTGGTCCCAGATCAACTTCTTCATCTTCTTCTTCCTCTTGGTGCTCTACCTCACCTCACCTCAAATCCTGATCTATCACCATAGAATCTTGCAACTCCTCACTTGTAAACGTAATTGTTGTTTAAAACTGCTTTATCCACTCACTGATCATCTTCCAAGTCCTGTTCGCATTCTGTCTCGGTAATAAGTCCTGCATGACAATAGGAGTATTGAATTGTTTCTGCTATCACCTCTTTGCAAACTTTACTAATAAAGTTGACTGCATCTAGCATATTAATGGCAAATTTGTCTTCGGGCTCTACCATTTCCATTAAAATGTTTTTCCTGTATCGACTCTTAAGACTTTTTATTATGCTCTGGAAATTTAGGAGTTTTATTGGGCCTCATTTTGTAAAAAATACCAGTTTCGTCAGCATTAAATATCTCGTTAGCGGGGCAGTTTTCTGCTAGTTTTGGCCACGTCTTCTCCAGTCAATAGTTAGTGACGTTTATGTCGACATCACGGGCTTCGCCACTTATCTGTCCATAATTTATACCATGGCTCTGTGTGAACTTCCGGGATTAAGCTTTGTATGAAGACCTGATAGTACAACAAATTTGGTTCCTAATACAGAGATTTACGTTATACAGAATTTCGCTATAGGGAGTTTTCACTGTATTTAAAGAATAAATTAGTTACAGTTTTATACCTATCATTTTGTTCATTTCCTTAGATACTGACTAATAAACACATACTTCTACAGTCTATTAAAGCGTAGTTTAGTTAGTTAAAGTTTGCATTTTTTAAAGAATTAAATTTTTTAATGCCTTCAGGTAGACAGTTATACACTTTTGGAGCAAAGTATCTACGGCATCTCGATGCTATAGTCTTCTCAAGAACTATGAAATTTGTATTTGTTAAGTTTGTTCCTTTACTGATCCCCGAGCGACTCCATGATTCACTTGTATAATATGAGAATATCCTTGACTTGTTATATACTGGTTTCGATTTGCGAGATATGATTGACAATTTCTCAGTTCTAGTAACATTCTACTTTTTTTGGTAGAATTTTATGTTTAAAGCAGTTGAAGGTTATTCTGAAGTCGAATAGAGTGATGGACATTCCGGGGACACTCCGGAAAACCCCAAAAGCTCCACGACGACTCGGTCGATAAAGTCTTAGCATTAGATTCCACTTAAATGGAAAAAAGGTAGGGTAAAGTCTCTTCATAGATATAAGAAAGTGACTAACTGATACGAGCTGTAAGAATAAAATATGGCCGAACAGGTCCGTACTTTGCTTAGGATTTAATTATTTGGTGTTTTGTTAGGAAAGATACTAAACAATATTTATTTATTTATGTATGTATTTATGTTCAAATCTAAAATAAGATTACAAATTATTTTTATTACCTACTTGAATTACTTAAAATTATTCACATAATATATCAGTATCACTATCGCTATCATCGCCTAGTCTAATTATCAATATGGATATACGCTTTTTCTACATATTTAACAGAATTTGCCCAACTTTGTGGAGGGATGTTAGAAACTTCGAATGGCAGATTTCAGTTGGTACCAAACATGTTCAATGGCATTAAATAGACAGTGGTAAGGTGGAAGCCCTAATTTTTTTGCATAATTGTCACAGGCGTATTCCTTTTGTAGGTTCAAGCTTTGTAGAACCTCAATTAATTGCTTTTTGGTATAATCTTTGCGAAAATAAATTTGGTTATTATTGGATTGTTGCTTTTGTGTCACATGAGGTAGGGGTTTTAGTCAACTGTCTACTGTGATAACTTACAAGGAGAAATGTTTGGAACTAGTTTGTTTTTAAACCAACTTTCAAATAAATCAGCGGTGGCGTCTTCACGGTAATCTAGAGAAGAATCTTTAATATTTTTCGCAGACAGAGAAAGTCCATTTGGAATTCAACCATCTTTAGAGCCAGCATGCAAAGTAGTTATTCTTTTACCTCTTTTTGATTGCGCGTTTGTTTTACACTTATCAGTTGAGTCAACCTAACATTTTTCCGGGGTATCATAAGTGTCGAGCCAGGTTTAATCCCAGTAAATAATTGGCTTTTGTTGTTCTCTGTAAATCCTATTTTTTTCTAGATATTCCAGTCGCCATTTCCGAATTCTAAAAGATTCCATTAAAACTTGCCTTTTGTCAATTTTTTTAAATCTAAAATACACTTCTTTTATTCCTCGCTGAAATGGGATTACTCACAATTTTCCATACAGTTGATGTTGGAATTTTCGTCAATGTGGCCGTTTCTTCTAAAAATGCTTGCTTGCTGGCATTACGTTCAATGACAGTCAAATAAACATTGTTTATAACTTCCTTAGTCTCAATAGAATTGTGTTTTCTACATTTGGGCGGGAGCATCTCCTGAGATACACTAGACTCGCACATATTTTGCGTAATTCGCACACGATTCAACACACGCTGTATTACACACGAAATAAGAATAATTACTAATAAAATTAAACTAAGTAGTATACCAAACCATAGAATATTAAACACAGGTAGGTATAAAATTATTACGGACCCTAATTTTACCTGGATTTAAATTCCGAAACTTTAGGCAATAATCTTGTTGCGTTGTATGTTAATGACCACCCTTGGATAATTCCATTCAAAAGCAATTGGTCATTTTCTTATTTCTATGAACAGATCACAATATATATGCCAAAAAATAATCTAGCTAGGTTTTATTTTAAATCGAAAATGTCCACTTTTGAAAAAACCCAATATTATCCTTATTATACGAGCTGAAATGTTCATATTTTCAGGATATGAGTAAAAGGATACGGCAATGCAATTTCCACATTTTCAAAATCCTCTTTAAACATACTATCCGACCATGTGTAACACATTTATGTTTGGTCCCCCTACATGCCGAAAAATAACAAAAATAAGATTTCATTATAGTAGGCTTTGATATCGCTGCTTTTGTTTTCCACCAAGTTGGCCATGCAAGCGTATCCCAGGTGATTCGTAATTATTGGCAACAGTCACTGTCAGTTGTGTGAAGTGTAAAATGAATTACTTTTCAAATAGTTAATAAGTATGATGCCAGAGTGTTTTTTATTCTCTGCCGTAGAAACGAAGCAAAAGCCGAAGAAATGTATTTAGGCGATGCATGTTTAGGCGTCTGTAAGACAACCTCGTCGCCTATGGGAATTCTGCTAAGGTAAAAAGGAACAAACTTTCGGATGAAAATAAAGAAAATTTGATCTTGAAAATTGTAATTTAAATCGTGATAAAAGTCATCCTTATCTTCAACTGCCTTACCAGGGACTTCAGACTCACGATACTGTTTGAAGAATGACATTGTGCCAGTGGTGAATTCAAAAAAATAATGAAATTTGAAACTTTTTCTTAAATGTCTTGATGAGTATCGATTTTCTGATTGTGGACTGTTTAATCAAAAGAACACTTTATTTTGAGCAGATGTAAATCCACTGTTAGCTCGTGAAGTTAGGCATCAAGTGAGGTTTAGATTTAACGTTTGGTTTGGTAATTTGGGTACAGAAAAATTGAACCATGTTTTTTCGCCGATGACATAAATTCTGAGATTTTTAAACTTAATTTTTAAACTAAAAAAAAAACGTAATCTGCGACAAATGTAGAAATTTTCACACCGTGTATACTACTATTGAGATCATTAGGGAGATTCCTTCGAGTTAAACAATTTTTCTAAATTTCGTATGAGACAGAAATAAATAAAATAGTCAATATTTCAGAAATTATTCGCAAATGCCGTAAGAGAAGATCCACCCAAAACACCGGAAATTTAAACTAAACCCGGCATATTGTTTTAATCAAGTTCGCATTCCACGCAAAATTCTAAGTAACCACTAACTACGTCCGAAATTAAGTAGCGATTAAAACAACGT